CGATCGGCTTCAGTTAGCAACAGTAGCGAAGGAATCGCTCGATCGGGTTCAGTTAACAGCCATCGATCGATCGCTCGGGTTCAGTAACGCGTAGCCTGCAGTGCAATCGCTCGGGTTCAGTTAGAGCCCAACGCCTCGCTCGGGTTCAGTTAGAGCCAACGCCTCACACACACGCGCGTACGTGTACGAGAGAAGCGCGCATCGCTCGGCCCCCGACCTCCCACCGTAACCGGGAACTCCCCAAAATTTTCCTCCCCCTCGCTTCTACCACGGTTTTTTCCGTCATGGACGGTCCAAAGAATGTCATGCAGCTGCGTCTCCGGCCCGCCCAGGACGAAAAGCCCATTTTCTGTCATGATTTTTTTGTCATAGAAGTAGGATCCCACCACATCTATGATAATACCGGGTTTTGTCACAATTATCGTCATAGAAGTGTCATATGTATGACAGAAATTTCTTTCGTTCGACCCAAAATGTCACGGATGTGTCTTTTTTTGTAATGGTTCCAGACTTTGTATAGTGCCATGCCACAAAATCTTCTAGTGCTTCAATATGTAGTGGAATTTGTAGTATTCTGCCTACATCAACTGGTGAGAACACGCTCTGAATTAGTGCCTCGTCCCACTGACCCGTATGAGGGTCAATTATCTCTTGCACTTTTGACAACATGATTCCACCTCTAGGGGTGATAATCTTCCTTGTTGGACTTGATGGGAGCCATGGATCATCCCAAATGTTAATCTGTGAACCAGTGCCCACTCGCCAAATACATCCCCTCTTGAAAGTTTGTATCACAGCAACCAAGCTTTGCCATGTAAATGAGGAGCCTTTCTTTGGGCCAGCTCTCAGAACATTACCATCAGGATAGTATTTTGCACTTAGAACACGTGCACACAAAAGAGTCAGGATTCTGGATCAGTCGCCAACACTGCTTTGCTAACATAGCAAGGTTAAAGCTATGAAGGTCTCTAAATCCCATACCTCCCTTCTTCTTCGGAACACACATCTTCCACCATGCAAATCAATGCATTTTCCTTTTCTCCTCTTCATCACCTCACCAGAAGCTCGATACTTCATCAGTGATTGACTTGCATATCCCTTTTGGTAACTTAAAAACAGACATAGCATAAGATGGAATTGCCTGAGCTACTGCCTTTAAAAGGGTTTCTTTACCTTGGACTGGTAGAAAATTTTCCTTCCACCCCTTCAATCTTTGACAAACTCTATCAACAAGATGTTGAAAACAGTCACTACGATCAACACCGACAATAGTTGGTAGCCCCAAATACTTGTCTGACAAAGCTTCTGTTAGTATATTCAACATTCCACATGCATTCTCCCTTTCATTTACTCTAGTATTAGGACTGAAGAAGATACTGGATTTTGGAGTACTTACACGCTGCCCGAACTCTTACAATATGTATCTAGGACCCTCTTCAATGTACTTGCATTCTGTACCGTAGCTCTCATGAGGATCAAAGAATCATCCGCAAACAAAAGGTGAGATATCGAGGGGGCATTCCTTGACACCTTTATTCCTTCAATACCACCAACTTCTTCTTCATGAGACAACATGCTTGATAATCCTCCAGAACAGATCAAAAAGAGATAAGGAGATAGGGGATCACCCTGTCTTAGGCCCCTAGTTGGTGTAAATTCGTCTGTCTCTGTATCATTAAATCTGATCTGATATTTGACAGAAGAGACGCACTCCATGATAAGCTTAATCCATTGTGCATGAAACCCCATCCTCATCATCATCTGCCGCATGAATTCCCATTCTACTTTGTCATATGCTTTCAGCATGTCCAGCTTAACCGCAGAAATACCATTTGAGCCATGTGTTCGCTTCTTTATGGAATGAAAGCATTCATAAGCGATCAACACATAATTTATGCTCTCTTTGTAGCTGGAGCGAGCACGATAAATACTCCTAATCTGAGTTCAAAACTGCAACACTTGTTATGAATTGTGGAGTATATTTTTTTCAATACATTGGAAAATTAAAAAGATGCTGCAACACTTGAGAAGCTTGTCGAAGGGAGAGAGAGAGAGGGGGTTGTCAGACGGGCCGGGATCCCATCCCCTCCTCCCGGCGTGCACATATTCCTTGCCCCTCGCACCCAAACGCAGCACAATTCTTTACTTAACCTCCGCGCGCTCTTATCCACCCGACGCCACCCACTGACACATCGCCCCACCGCACCCGAGCTAACCCGACTCCGCACGGGTACAAGAGCCGACGCGTGCGCCGCACACCCCCGCAGACCAGAACGGCAGAACGGCGCCGCACACCTCCAGGCCGCTTCCACCCACCCGAGCCGACAGCAGCAGGCTCAACCCAGCAGACAGGTGGGACCATCCCACCACCGGGCCCATCAATCAGCGAAGCATACGGGTAGGCCCCACCGTGAGCGTGGGACGCTATGCGGCGGTTTCCCCCGGTGATTTCCACGCCCCTTTCTATCCCCAAACCCGAAGGCAAACCCCTCTTTTGAATTCCCTCCCTCCCCTTCCCCTCGGCCGCCTCGCCGCCGACCCGGCCCGGGACGGAGGCCCCCTCCCTCCCTCCCGGAACCTTCTGGAAGCTTCCGCACCTCCCTCCCCTGCTCCGGCGAGAGCCGCGTCGCCGCCACCGCAGCAGCCACCAGTACCTCGCGCTCTCGGCCCGTTGCTTGCAGCGGGAGGAAAGGTATTCGTTCCCCGCCCCGCTTTGCTTCGATTTGGTCCTTCTGTAGCGGCGGCGACGCGCCCCCGTTCCGTCTCCGCCGGGGGTGCCCTTTTCCACGTACACGCTACGGATATGCTGTTAGGTTGTTTCGGGTATGGATTAGGCCGCGGTTGTCGCGTCCCGTGCCCCGTTCGATTCTCCGCGCTGCCGCTGCTGCTCGCGGTGCCGTTCGGGGGCCGCAACCGCGCGGTGCGTGGCGCCCAGGGGTTGCGGGCCGCTCGCATTTGGAGGGATTTGCGAGTCGGATGTAGCGGTTCCCCTGTGCCGTGTTAATTTTAGTTTCGTGGTACGCTGAGATTGATCTAGTTGGGATTGCGCGAGGTGCTTTTGGCTGCTCGTCTGAATTGATTTTGTATCTGGTGCCTCCGTTTAATTTGTGCTTCGCAGTTCACGTTTAGATTAATTTGGTTGGTCATCATCTGAGAGCATAGGTGTACTTTTGGCTGCTTATCTGAATTGAACTGTATCGGGTGCCTCCATTCGATTTGCTTCCCAGTTCACGTTCAGATTGATTTGCTTGGTCATTTTCTTAGAGCAGAGGAGGTGTACCTACTGCTATCATATACTAAAGCTGAAATGTAACAGTATATTGTTTGGTCTGACTGGGAACGAGTAGTAATTGTTTGGATTTCCTCCTATTCTGTGCATGTTTGTTGTAACAAAATCGAACTCTAGCAAAACGGGCTCATATGAAGTTATGATGCTTGATGCATCCCCTATTCTATATATCTAGACACAACTTTAACAGAAATTTTGTTTGGTCTGGCCAGAACAGGTAGTCGTTAGGTTTCCTCTACTCTGTGTAGCCTCTGTTATAACAAAATCGAACTATAGCAAAATGGTTTGGTATCACCTATGAACTTATGGTGCTAGCATGTTTGGATAACACTTTCTAGATGTTCGTTGGCTGAAGCAATCAGCAAGATAAAGGCTTAATCTGGCATGCAGTACCTATTTCCATCTTTTTTATGTTTTGTTTTGCTGATGCGAAGGAGCTTTTGGAAGGCTATGGCATAATGGCTGCTAGCATGTTGTGATTTGACCCTCCTAGGACATTTATCAATGTTGCTTTTGGCAATTGACAACATATGTAATTGTTTTCTGTGGTGTAGGGGTCAAGATGGTTGTTGGATCATTCATTACCAGAGCTTTGATGTAAGCAGGAACTCAGTTCTTATTTAATCACAGAAATGATGTGATTTTCTTGTTTACATTCACAATGTTTCTGTTATTTATCTGTTTTGCAGACTTGTTCTTGGATATGCATATCCAGCTTATGATTGTTACAAGACAGTGGAGCTGAATAGGCCTGAGATTGAGCAGTTGCGGTTCTGGTGTCAGTACTGGTATGTCTTTGACGCCATTCCACTTTATTTTGGGTTATCATTCTTTGTTTTTGCTTGGTCTCACATGCATGACCATGGTTTTGCAGGATTTTACTTGCAATGCTTACTGTTTTCGAGAGAGTTGGGGATAATTTCATATCATGGTAATGTGACTTATTTGAATTAGGATTTGGGGTGATTACAGTTGGGGGACTTCATCTGCTTGATGGTTGATAGTTCCATTTTCATACAGGTTGCCAATGTATAGTGAAGCAAAGCTGGCTTTTATTGTGTATTTGTGGTATCCTAAGACACAGGTTTGGTTTCCTGCTTTTTGTGTTGCCCTAACATGTTATGTCTTATGGCTTGTCTCTAACAAAGGGTTATTCCAGGGGACTTCATATGTCTATGAGTCGTTCTTCAAGCCGTATATCGCAAAACATGAATCTGAGATTGATCGCAATCTTCTTGAGTTGAGGACAAGGGCTAGTGATATGGCTGTTACTTACTTCCACAAGGTTGCAGACTACAGCCAGTCAAGGTTCCATGAGATCTTGCAATATGTTGCTTCTCAATCACAAAGATCTCGTTCTCAGGTACTTCCAAAACTTTAAAGCTTGCTTGATAGTCTTTTTGTGCTGCTATGATGTCCATTTTAGCGAGAAGTGTAACACTACCCACTATATGATGTACTGAACTTATATAGTTTGTATATGATATAATCTGGTGGCTTGTTCCATAATGGTAGTGCTATTTGGATTTTCTTCTATTTGAGCCCAATGTTGTAGGCTGTAGTAGAATTTTAAATGCTAGGCCATGAATTTATTCACATGTTGTATTGATAACGGTGCATGTATTGCATCCTACCACCACATGTTTCTTTATGTTAAAATTAAAATGTTCTTAAATTCACATTGATGTCCTGATTTCTAGTGGAAGTTAGAAAACATGAATAATACCCATTTCTATGTTCCTTTACGCAACACTTCTTTTTACATCCAGCCTCTCATCTACGAGTGGTGTTTACTGATTTTTTTTTTGTAGTTACAATTGGAGTTAAATAATACTCCTATGTTTGGGTAAAACAAATATAGTATGGCGCTCAGAGATCATATATTGCTCCAAAATTTTGGCATATGCATTTACCTTCCATTTATAATAGAGAGAATATGCATCTAATTTTTCCTAGTTTTGAGAATTTCTGAGAATTATCGATAGGTTGGGAAATTTGCTCTGGTCTTCTAGGAGCACTACTACTGAAGAGTGTTTTCACACCATATTGTGAAATTCTAGAAATATTTTCCCCTAGTGTTCAGTTGAATATTCTACCTTGCTTGCGTGCACTCTCTGTAAGAATTTGTGTGTATGTCCTGGTTGCACCCTTTGGAAGAATTTGTGTGTCGCACAAGTTCTGCCAGGTCATCAACTCATCACCATCTAGTTGCATTATAACACTATCCCTTTTTTCTCATCAGTTAGGACGCACTTTAGTCAAACCCAATTGTTCTACCAAGTCAAACTGGCTTACAATTGTACCTGGATTTATCAGTATTCAGTAATCTCTGTTGGTAGTTGGTAGGAAATGGCATTTGTTTCTCTAGTTTATTTTGCAGCTTAGGAGCCTGAGTTGTGGTTAATTGTGGCATTTGCGTGGACAAAGTTAGCTAACAATGATTTTGTAGTATCATGTCATTCATCTACCATACTTCTGTACCAATTTTCTTGCAAGAATTATCACAATAGGATTATTCATGGTGTCCTCGACCTCTAGGTTGCTAAGCTCTTATTCGTTTGGGCACACATACAAAAGCAAACTTGTCTAGAATTACCTTGTCATGCTTGATGCTCAACATATCTTGTTGAAGACAGCATAGATATTTGATCGTTTACTGAACTGACAGTGATCAAGTTGGCGACCTACAATTTGTTTTGCCCCATGCCCCTTGTACTTCTAGCGAAGTTTGATCTATAGTTCCACATAGTTTGTATCACCTTGCATGAATAGCACTTCCTTTCTTGTTACATCCTTTGTTAGAGTTAGTGTCCTGAGAAGCACGTATAATATATAATTTCCATATTGGAATGTGACAACTGCTGCACCATTTTGTCATACCATTTGTTAGGAAGGGTTAGGATTATTCATGTCCAGAAGTTCTGTGTGCATTTTTTGAGAGTGCAGTATGGGCTTTCTGTTTGCAGTTGTAGGATTCAGGGTCAGATGGTTTTTTTGAACTCATTAACTTATGACTTATCTAGTATTGTGTGCTTGTGGGTGGGTGTGTGTCAGTGTCAGCTGTATGTCTCATGTACTTACTTTACGGTCTCTCTCTATACAGGCACAGCAACAGCAGCAGCGTCCACCACCTCCACGGACTCGGATGGCGAATCCTGCACCACCACCTGTTCCTGCACCAACGGCACCACCGATGCCACCACAGCCCGCCCAAGTTCCTCCTACTCCACCAAGGATGCAGGTGCAAGATAAGGGCCCAGTTCCAGTTGCCCCTCCTGGCGCAGTGCCTCCTGTGCAGCAACAAACACCTTCCGGTCCTGGCCCTGTCACCGGCAACAGCCCCCCAAACAGTGAAGACATGCTGGTTGATCAATCTGGGCCATCGACAAGCAACGTGCCACTCCGCCCAACAATGCCTGAAGACGAGGAGACGCTCATCCAGGAGGCTATTCGGTTGACTCGGGGCCGGCTCAGGAGGCGCATGGGTGGATCTGGACCTCCATCCAACTAGCTCTTCTCGCACTTACGATGATGATGGCAGGGGAAATGCTGGGTTGGTCCATCAGGCATGGCTGAATTACCTCGCACAGTTGCGCATGCGCGCTCACGTCCGCCTTGTAAAACGATGAATCCTGGTTCCTGTTGTTTCATAGCCCAGATTGTGTATATAAACCCACCCCACACCAGGGGTAAAAACGCTGGGATGTCAGTGGACCACCAGTTTAGCTAGGCGGTAGCAGAAGATGGTTAAGATGCTCGGTGAAATCGGTTCCAACTTAGTTCTGTCGAAATTCGTTGGTGGTGACTTCGTCTGTACTGGAAAGTGGTTCAAAGGTGAAGTGAAATAATCTTAGGCTGTACCGGGAAGATAGAACCTTCGCCCGCCTCATTAGCACGTTCTGTTGCTGCTACATTTATTTAGCTGCTTCTCGAGTTTTAGCATTGCATGATGCCAGTAAGAAAATCTATTGGTATATCATTTCCTAGAGCTGTTTTTCTTTCTGAGCCTGCTTCAGCAACAGATGCATTTTATCACCTATATGAGGAAATGCAATTCGGCTCCCGGGAGCACGTGCACCTGACTCTGAAAAATGAATTTTGAAATGTCAAAAAATTTACGTGTTCTTTGTCACATTCAAATGCTACCTGAAAATTTTTAGGCAAAAATGTAAAGCATTTGGCCCATGCAAAAAAAAAAACAGAACATCAAGTGATACCCCAAAATGTCACAATTAAATTTGTTTTTTCACTGACAAAACACTGCTGCCCCGCTTCGCATGAAAATTGTCAATCATCCTTGCTACACTAACACGATCATCTATTAAAAAATTTAGAATTTTTAAATTTTTTTATTTTTTTTATTTTACTGTTCACCCTGGTGCAAATGCACCCGGAGCCAAAACGCCTCCCCTGGCTATATCAACCAAGAAAGCTTCATTGGCCTTTTCAGGTTTCGTATGCCCGTGTGACTTGCAGCCTTCGCATCTGCAATATTGAAATTGTAGATCTGTGATACTGCAATTTTAAGTAACCAAAGGTTTCCAAAAACCCTACTCAAATGAGAAGAGTGATTCATACCAGCTATGGCAAACTTCTGTGGAGCGGACCGGTTTCAGTTGCTTTTTCCTACTTTCTTTTGTCGGTTTGTGTCTGGTTTTACCTCTTCTTCTTTTTTCCTATTTTTTTGTTTCTTTTTTGTTTTGTGTTTCATTCCTTTTCATTTTCGTGTTTGGTTGTCCTTTTTCTGTTATATTTTAAGTTTCATTTTTTATTTTGAAAATACACTAAGATATAGAAAATATGGAATTTTAAAAATACATGAATATCACACTATTTTAAAATTACATGAATACTTTTCAAATGGGTGAAAAACTTTTTAATTACATTAACAGTTTCTCTAATGGACGAATACTTTCATTAACATGTTTTGAAAGTATATGAGCACTTCATAAAACATGTGAATATTTCTTTAAAGTACATGTATTTTATTCAAAATAGATGAACACATTTTAATTAAATGAACATTTTTAGTTCTACATGGGCATTTTTTTACATATACGTGAACACCTTTTTTAGTTGTACACGCATTTTTGTTAAAATGTATGAACTAACATTTCTAAGAAATGCATGTACATTTCTGTGAAGTTGGAGAAAATTATGTTGTTGAAATCTCTTCCTCTCCACTTGCAGATTTCGTCCCAGATTCCGTATGAAATCCATCCCGGTCATTCAGATTCCAGGGGCGCAATCTACAGTAGCAACAAGAAATCCTAAAGATTCAAACTCTAAAAGTTGAACCCATAACTAAAAAAAATGGTACTGTATTTCCTGAAAGATCCAAAAAATGGAACTTCAACCTATAGTAATTTTTTCAACAAAGAAAAAAAAACTGATAATAAAGTGACCGTTGAGCAGGAATTTAGGGCCGAAATCACTGTTCTGACCTTGTCAGCGTTTATAGTCACAAACTGAACTCGACGAGAAAGTATTTCGCGATTTGACCCTTTTAAAAACGCCAGGGTCCGCGGCGTTTCCATCCAATAAAGAAACGCCGAGCAAGTTAGCGTTCCCAGCCAACACGCAAACGCCGAGGCAGCTAGCGTTTCTGCCCTGGCCCACAGTCAGTCTGACCCCGCTGTTTTCGCTGACGTGGCACGCTTGAAACGCCAAGGTCCTTGGCGTTTCTGACCAGGATTAAGTAACGCGCGCGGGCCGCGGGGGCCTAACCCAGCCCACTCGCAGTCGCAGCCCCGGTCGAGCAGTTCTGGTTCCAGGACGAACTGGCGGCCGCCCCCTCCCTCTTCTTCACCAAATCTCCCCCAAATCTGCTATTTTGATCATCAAAACGAGTAGATCGGAGCATCCCCGAGTTGCTTGAGGTATTCTCTTCCCAATCCTCCATTTATTTCCAGTCAAGATTGGCTATTGTAGATGCATTTTTTCAAACATGGTGGAACCCTAAGATGAGTTATTAGTGATTTGTTTGATGAATATTTTGGTTACATTATGTTTAGAAAGAAGACATATACTCCTTGTGTTTAAGTATTCTTAGTTAACTTGTTTATTATTGGATTTAGAGAGAAACCATTTTTTGGATTAGATTGAGCCTATTATTTGTTAATAATTAGTTGTGATAGATTCTTTAGGATAAAATAGGTTGAAAAGAATTGGTGTTGGTAATGTCGTTCGTGATTTGTATCTTTGGGATAATTTGTAGTAGTTCTCACACGATTTTGTATATGATGCATACCTCCCTATTCGAAGGAATGACCGTGCTCCTAACAAGTCTCATGAACCATTCCTAGTTGTCTTGGTTCTCCACGGAGACCAAAGCAAATGCCACAGGCAACACCTGATCGTTAGCATCATGTGCCATTGCTATCATGAGTGTGCCCTTGTATTTCCCTGTCAAGAATGTCCCATCTATAGACAAAACCGGTCGACAATGCTCAAAAGCTGCAATGCATGGGCCAAACGTCCAAAAGGCACGACGAAACACTCCTTCAATATCTTGGACATAGTGGTACATTTCTGGGTTTCTGTACCACATCGCTCCCAGCAACCTGGGTAGCATGTTGTAAGCCTCTTCCCATCCACCATACAACATTCTGAGAGCGACTTGCTTGGCCTTCCATATCTTTCCGTACTTGACCTTATATCCGAATTTATCTTCAATCCAACTCATCAACAACTTCACTTTAATGGTTGGATCCTCGGCTATATGTTTCTGGTATTTATAACCAATGAATTTCGAGGTTAGTTGACGGTGTGTCTTCCGTGCTTCTACGGCCGGCGGTGTGCATTGGTGAGTGGCTTTGCAACTAGTTATCTTCCACCAACCATCTTTCGTGAGTCTTCCATTGACTTTCCATTTGCATCTTTCTACCTCACATTTCACGGTGTACCGTTTGTTGCAGTCCGAGTGAACAACTATGAAAGGCCTGTGGTGTTTGACAACATACTCACACAACCACATCCTGAATTCTAGCATGTGCTCAAATATCAAACCTTTCCTCACGTATGACATCGAAATCGCGTCGGGTGTACTACTTGGGAACTGTCTAGCCTCAATTGTCTTGCTCATGGCACCGTCGACTATAGCCTTATCTGCAAGGCTAACATCACAAAACAAGGGAACTTTGTGATCCCTATCGGTGATTTTTGTGTACCACTCTGCTTCTTTCGCAGTCAAGCCATCGGGTATTTCTTTAAAGTACATGTATTTTATTCAAAATAGATGAACACATTTTAATTAAATGAACATTTTTAGTTCTACATGGGCATTTTTTTACATATACGTGAACACCTTTTTTAGTTGTCCACGCATTTTTGTTAAAATGTTTGAACTAACATTTCTAAGAAATGCATGTACATTTCTGTGAAGTTGGAAAAAATTATGTTGTCGAAATCTCTTCCTCTCCACTTGCAGATTTCGTCCCAGATTCCGTATGAAATCCATCCCGGTCATTCAGATTCCAGGGGCGCAATCTACAGTAGCAACAAGAAATCCTAAAGATTCAAACTCTAAAAGTTGAACCCATAACTAAAAAAATGGTACTGTATTTCCTGAAAGATCCAAAAAATGGAACTTCAACCTATAGTATTTTTTTCAACAAAGGAAAAAAAACTGATAATAAAGTGACCGTTGAGAAGGAATTTGGTGGGTGCAGACCCCTCAAAAAGTTAACCGTTGAGATAAATATGATTCAATTCCCCAAAGAAGCATGATTTTGAAAACTTGATGGATTTTGGACATGTTTCAACCATAGTCATTGACCGGTTTAGATGAAAAATAAAAAGCATGAGTTCTGTGCATTAGATGAAGTAAAAGAAAAAAGAACTTAGAATTGCATTTGTTCCACTACGGGTTAAAAGATAGTTAACTCGTTTGTCTTGGTGATGAGCTAGTGGTGATCAATTGTATCTCATCTATGTGATGCAATACCTTATTTTATTATTTAATAGTTGGAGATGCAAATGGATCTCGGTCGAAGGGTGAAGTATTAGCTATAGATGTTTGCAGACATGTATGGTCTATCGCTTTATCCTTTATGGAGTGCTCCTATATAGTATAACCGCACCATGTCTTATGATTTGATAGGCCTTAGAGAATATAGGAAAGTAGGCTGTTCTTTTTTCTTGAGTGAATTGCAGAAAACCACCACATTTCAGCTTAGGTTTGCAGGAAACACTCTACGTTTTTGCTGCAGGAAACACTGATTTTTTTTCTAATCTTTTGCAGAAAGCATCAAACCTCCTGTTCAGTCAGTTTAAGCACTATTATGACAGGTGGGACCCTGTCTTGTCGACGTGGCTCACGGCCGCGAGCTGACGCCGTCTAACGGCGCTACAGTGCCCGCTGGTGCGCCGATAGAAACCAGCTCAGCTCTCTCATCTGCCTCGCCCTCTCCTCTCGTCACTCTGCTCTCCTCTCCTCACTCTGTTCTTCTCCCCCGACGCCGCCACAACGCCGGTCGCCGTTCTGCTGCTCCCCCGTGGCCATGGTGGACG